TGCAGAATATTATCTTTCACATTAACTGACACTGCCCGCGTCTGGTTTCGACAATTAAGAAGAAAATCAATCTTCTCCTTCAAAAAACTGATCGGGGCATTTGTCACGCAATTCATTGGAGGGTAGAATAGGAGTCAACCTGTGACCTACCTCCTAACCATAAAACAAGAATCAACTGAGAGCCTCAAAGAATATGTGGCTTGCTTCAACGAGGAAAGATTACTAGTCAAAGATCTTATCGACGGAATCTCACAACGTGGCGTAAGAGATAAAGAGCAATCATTCTCTTTTAGAAAAAGGGCTCCAACAACCTTCTCAAATGCATTAACTCGAGCTCAAAAATATATGAGCGCAAAAGAGCTACTCCATTCAAAGTGAGGTCTCAACCAAACTCAAGATCAATCAGATCAACGAGACACTCTGAAAAAATATACCCCAACGACAGTCCCACTCGAACAAGAGTCCGAGGAGAGCAATGAGTATTGCGATAATACTACCACACAACTTTAAGAGGCCACGAGACAACTCAACAAACATGCATTACAGGATAGCGTTTAGTTTCTCTCTCCCTATTTATGGTTAATGATTGAATAGGTCAGGTTTAATTCTTAATAACCGCTTATATGTTAGCATAGGACGGGTTTTCTGGTTATCGTTTGTCTTGCTTCAAATTATTTCTGATTCAATGTTTTAAAAAATATTCACTTATTTATGATTAATTGAAATTCAAGCATGTACGATCTAATTAATTCCTTATTACTTGAAAATTTATCTTTTATTCAAAATGAAAACCCCTCAAGTGGGGGCATGGGTAAGTTAATCAATAGCTGGTCAAGGAACTCGAACTGGGATAGACCTAGAAGTAGGTCAATAAGCTAGAAGCCAGTCAGTGAAACCGGAAAGGAAAATTCCAAAGGTACTGAAAAGGCATGCGTACAGGCCCAGTAAGGTTAAAACAGAAAGTAAACAAGTCAAACTAATCAATGAAACTTAAGGTTTAAAACCATTTGGCAAAAGCCAAAATAGGTTAGAAACCTAAGGACGTTGATTAAACTCAGGGTAAAAAACTGGCAGAAGCCAAATAGGTTGGAAACCCAAGGGTGCCAACAAGCTCAGGATATAAAACCATTGGCGAAACCAAATAGGTTAAAAACCCAAGAGTAAATCCTGTGGTATAAAACCATGGGCAAAAGCTAAGTAGGTTAGAAACTCAAGAGTGGTACAGCTAGCCCAGCTAAAAGTTAGATCCCAAGGCTAACAAAAAAAAAAATTAAAAGTAACTGTACGGCAGAGCCCAAGAGACTTAACTGCAGCCAACTACGACAAAAGGGTATGCGGGTTAAGACGATCAGCCCATGAGACGACAACCAACAAACGACAAGAGAATAAGGAAAAAAACTCGTTGCGCCTCTGCTTAATAGTTAGAGCATAAGTGCAAGTGCACACTGTCACAAGTAATAATATGGAAGTATTCCAAGTTTCGTTTCCTCAGGGACTAGTTTTCTTTTAAAAATGAATTTGTAAACTGCTTGAGTGAGCAATCGGGTTTGGGATAAAAATTTGGTGAATATGTTGGGAAACACGATTTAAAAACACAAGGCTTAAAAAAGTCAACCCCCTACTAAGATTTAGTTCTAAAGAGGTGAATTACACCTACCATGATTTAATCTTGCTAGGTGTAATTCACGTTTTGATAATCTAAGAATCGAATGTGGTTGAAACATTGTGAAGCTGAAACTTTCAAAGTAATTTGGTTGGCACATTCCTCTAGTAAGCTAGAAATTCTGGGCATGCGATGTGTCTGACGCATTGTGATCACCAATCTTCACTTTTCTCAAAAAAACCAACATATTTACATCAATTAACCTTCACTTACTGATAACTGAATGCCCAAGTCCTTAATCACAAAACATGCACATTTTATCTAAGATAGATGCATGATCATATACTTTTCATCCTAAATAATCCTTAACTAAGCATGCAAATCTATTTCTTTTAGACTTTAATCAAGACTTATCAAGGGGACTATTCTACAAAACAGTCATTCATGGAACGACTAATCGACAAGTACTCTCAATATAGAAGACCTAACATTTTGCCTTTTATGTTGAGAGTGGGGGCTACTGTTATAGGGAAATAAGCGAGATCTAACTATGCGACAGGAGATCGGAAGAAAGCCAAGAATGGGCACGAACTAGGAAAGGGCGCAGCACCTGGCGATCCGAGCCTACCCCCGGCCGATCAATGGTCGGCGCCGACCAGGCCTCAGTGCCAAGTAGTTCTTGGCCCCCCAGCCGAGAACCCTAACGGTTCATCCCGAACCATCCCGCCTCGACTCTTGATTCGACCTTAAGCCCATAATGAAGTGAACGGGCCCAGATATCTAGATTTCCTAGATGTATGAGGATTCAACTTCTGTAAATCCTAAAGAGATTAGGATTCGACTTCTATAAATAAGAGAGTGAACCAAACCCTAGAGGTATGCTTACAACACCCTACACGTTATACTCAACTATTCCAATTTTAACTCAAGCATCGGAGTGCGTGTGGCTAGAGCCACACCGGTCTTAGTGCTATTCTGTTTTGCAGGTCTCATCGATCCCTTTTATTCTAGAAGATTGGTGCGAATTTGGCGAGACCCTAAAAAGCCAAATTTCTACCTCAACACTTTCTATACCAATAAAAATTTTACATTCTACCATAAACATGAAATTATATTTTTTAAAAGAAAATGTCACATTTGAAAATTGGGAAACTAAAACAAAACATTTAAAAGATTAAGATATAAAAAATTGACGAACTAGATGGCAGGAATCCGATTGCTTGTCTGCTATATTAAGCTGATCCGGGGAGAAATCTCAACTTTGAGAGATGAATTAAATTGGGTGTCGGATGTGAGGACCCTAACCCTTCATTTTGCTTCTATTTCGTTCCACCACCACCTCCGAACCTGCAACGTGCAAGTTAGCTCTTTACCTAAGTCTTGCTTTACTGATTTAGCCACTTCTTTTTGGAGTTTAACTTTTCTTTCTAATTAATATTATTATTCATTTCTCCTTCAAAAACAATTTGAACAATCAGTTGGTTCGGATAAATTTTGTTGGTCTTAACCACATTCTTCCCTTCCATTCAGGAGAATTCAGACTTGATTATTCTGTATAGTTGATTTGCTCAACGTCCTCCATAAACAGGCTCCATGAGCTCTATATATGTTGGTTCAACATTGGTGTTGTTAGATTACTCAGACCCATTAAATCCAAAATCAAGAAAACCAAAACCAAACCTAAATTGGTTCAACTAAAATAAATTCTCAAGAATAGTTTTGTTTGGTTCTGTTAGGAGTGTAATCAGAGCAAAACGAGGATAGGGAGGACTGCTATCTGCTCCTGTTTCATTCCTCAGCCTACAAAACTCCACACGAAATTTTACCTAACTTTTTAGTCCATGATATAAATGCTTTAACCAGTCGAGCATGATAGAAATTTTCCATTTTTGTTTTCTTTTTATTTTTTTAGTACATATATCAATTACCGTTCTATGCTTGCTTTGACCATTACATTCACATATATATAATAAAAAATTAAACAGGTGGGGACGGTAAAAAGGGTCGGGATTCTCAAGGGAAAAAATAACACCACTCCACGCCTATACTAAAAGAAAAAAAAAATCATGGTTTAGTTATTAGTTTGGTCAAAAACAAAACTGCTCGAACTAAATACACGAAGAATCAAATTAAACCAAATGAAAAACAATGCATCGGTCCAATTAATTGGCTTTGTTATCAACTTAATTCCAATTCTTTTTCTTCAACAGAGATCAAACAAATTCATTTAAACAATACAATACAAATCGAACCGAACCCTAAACCCTAAATTCCAAACCCGACCGAACTGAATAAGAGAATTAAGAAGGGGGCAGGCTTAGGTTGGGTGGCAAAGCCCGTGAAGCTTTGCTTTTGGAGCTAAAAAGTTTTCATCTTTACAATGCTCAAAAGGACTTTTGCCTTAGCTTTTTTTCCCCTCCTTCCAATGGGTCAAACCTTACACATCTCACTCTCAACTTTAATCACCCTTCCAATTCCCATGTTCATGGTAGCAATCTTCAACTACTACTTCTAACCCTAAAAAAAAATTGAAAATGCTTCCTTTAATCTATTTTGCATAATTCCTATCTAACTTAAATTATAAATTTGGTTTAAAATTTTAAGAGTTGGGTTCATTTCAAAACTTCTAATAAGCCTCTAAACTTTCGTCCCTGAAATTTTGGTTTTATGTTTGATAGGTCTGTCTGTTGCTAATTTTTACTCTTACACCATGTCAAATGCCTCAACTTATCTGAAATCCACTTGTCCTTGTAATTTTTAAATAATATAGTTACTTAATATACCACGTGATTAATGTCGAAGCTTATGAGACACAAAATTGAAAGTTCATAAACGGCCAAACAAAACATAGCTCAGCATGTTAAGGCACATGTATCTAATTATGAGGTTGAGAGTTTGAATCTTTACTTCCGCATGTTGTACTAAAAAATGAAAGTTCATAAAACTTACTAGAAACGTTTTAAATTATAGAAACCAAAATAGATACAATGTTAAAAGTTCAACTTGAACATAACTTGACTGACTGTTAAATAGTCATATATCCTTGACTAAAAAGTCAAAAGTAAGACCTTACTCTTAAAGTTTTAAGATTAAGCTTGCAATTTAACATTCATATTATAATGTAATCTCTGTGTAACAATACTATCAATTTTGTTTTGGTTTTATGTTTGTCATACGATATACAAAAATTAATACCAAAACCCCAATTAATTGTATTTAAAAAAATTTCTACTTTTTGGTTGACATTTAGCCCTATGGAATGGCAACCTACCCTCCATTATTTGTGGACTTTATTTCACTACATGTGACTCTCTCTCTCTCTAGCTCTCTCACTCTCTTATGGGATTATAAAGTGACATAGCTACCCCAATACTGAAACTTGGGGTTCTAAGAAAAAAGAAAACACAGAAAGAACTTCCAATTTATTAACCACCACCCACTTATAGAAAAAAATATATAATATTGCCAATATTTTCATTTTCTATATTGTCATAGTTGCATTTTGATCCATCCCACTAATTTAACATTGTTTGATTATTATTATTTTGTTAAGTTTTTTTGTTGCATATTATTACATGCCAGAGTTAATCCCCAGAATTCATGCTGAGAATTGAAGGAAATGGCAGAATCAGATCATCAGAAGTTGAAAGTGAACAAAAGCCTCCAAATGAGCATGGACAAAATCAAACACTTGCCTGTTTTGTGTTGGAAGACCTCCAAGAAAGTGGGAGCTGAAGATCCCAGAAGAATTGTCCACTCTCTCAAAGTTGGTCTCTCCCTCACTCTGGTCTCTCTCTTGTACCTGGTGGAGCCATTGTTCAAAGGCATTGGAACCAATGCCATATGGGCCGTCATGACCGTCGTCGTCGTTCTAGAGTTCACCGCGGGTTCGTTCTCCACTTTAAAAAGTCGTGATCTTTAAAATCTCCGTTGTGAAAGCGAAAATTTCTGGCTCCGCCCCTGATTCTTGACATGGTTTGATGGCAGGAGCGACTTTGTGCAAAGGGCTCAATAGAGGGCTGGGGACATTGTTGGCAGGATCCTTGGCATTTCTCATTGAGGGTGTTGCCAATAGATCTGGAAGAGTTTTTAGAGCTTGTTTCATTGGAGCTGCAGTTTTTCTTATAGGTATCTTATTTATTTCATTTTCTTCCATATATCTTCTTGAAGTTCATTTTGTAATTTTGCCTTTTGTTTGATAAGAAAGTTTTTGAGATTTAGTTTTCCATTGTGCATAGCATTATAGTTCCTAAAATTTTGAGATGATAGTAAGATTTTTATGTAGTGGATGTGACTAACACTAAAAACTAATGATATTCTGACAGCTCTATTGAACAAATATTATATTGATTTATTATTTAACGTGATCTCTAGCAGTAGATGACGTACATATATAATATAACTTACTCTACTTTGAGGTAAGGTATCAAATCTCTTTTAGAGACCGTACCACTCGATCGTTGTCTAGTTGTTCATTTACATTTTGTCATTTGTTTGTCACGTTATGTCAAATTAGTCATTGTTTACCTAACAGACATATCATATCATTATTTAGTTGATTGTGCTAATGACAAAAACTTCGTTGAATGAGGAACGTAATTAGAGCTTTCTACATGCTCAAACTTTAACCTTTTTTTATATCTGTTACAGGAGGTGCAGCAACATATATGAGATTCTTTCCCAAAATAAAGAAGAACTATGATTATGGAGTGGTGATATTTCTCTTGACATTCAATCTGATAACCATATCGAGCTATCGCGTTGACAACGTGTTGAAAATCGCACACGACAGATTCTACACCATTGCCATTGGATGTGGAGTCTGCCTTCTGATGAGCCTACTGATCTTCCCAAACTGGTCTGGAGAAGAGCTCCACAATTCAACTGTGCTCAAGCTTGAAGGCCTTGCCAAATCCATTGAAGGTACACAGACAAAAGACCCTTTATTCAGTATCCTCCCATTATATATATATCCTTCTGTTTTTGTGCTATGAATGTAAGCGTTCGTTCATTACGTTTTCATTTTCTGTTTTTTGTTTCTCATTTTTTTATTACGTTGCAGCCTGTGTAAATGATTACTTCTTTGATGCTGAGATCGACGAAAACAAAGAGAGTTGTTCAAGAGACCAAATTTATAAAGGCTATAAGGCAGTTCTAGACTCAAAATCCACAGATGAAACTTTGGTGGGAAAGTCTTATTTGATATTCTTCTGAATGAGTTTAGCATGATGTGCATTTTTGATCCTATGTTTAATGTTTGTGTTGTAAACTGATCAGGCATTACAAGCAAGTTGGGAGCCAAGACACTCAAGTCACTGCTATAGAATCCCATGGCAACAGTATGTTAAATTAGGCGGCGTTCTTCGGCATTTCGGGTACACGGTCGTCGCTCTACACGGCTGTTTGCAGACCGAGATTCAGGTACAGATTGGTTCAAATCCTCTGTTTTCTCTGTTTTGTAGACAATCTAAGAGTTTGGTTGTTGGTTGTTCTGCTTTTGCCTCAAAAGACTCCGCGATCGGTTAGAGTCCTGTTCAAAGATCCTTGCAGCCGAGTAGCACGAGAAGTATCGAAAGCATTGATCGAGCTCGCAAACAGCATAAGGAACCGGCGGCATTGCTCACCGGAGATCCTGTCGGACCATCTTCACGAGGCCTTACAAGACCTGAACAAGGCGATAAAATCACAGCCGCGACTCTTCCTAGGCTCGAACAGGAACCAAGCCAGAAACATGCTAGCATTGGCAGCAGCACAAGCAGGGCAAAAACAAGAGGAAAAGGAAAAGGAAAAGCGGTCCGGGGTATCGTTGTCGAGCGTGAAAACGGACTCGTCGGCGCTGATGGAATGGAGGACGAAAAGAAGGGAGGCTGAGAGGAAGGTGTTGAGGCCACAGCTAAGCAAGATAGCAATCACAAGCCTTGAGTTCTCAGAAGCACTTCCATTTGCTGCTTTTGCTTCTCTGCTGGTTGAGACTGTGGCAAAGCTTGACATTCTGATAGATGAAGTTGAAGAGTTGGGGAGAATTGCTTGCTTCAAAGAGTTCAAAAATGGTGATGATGAACAACATATAACTGTCAAATGTGAGAAGCCAAAGATCAGTGTGTCTCAGAGTCAGCTGTCTTCAGTTAGTGCTGCAGAATGAGGGGATTGGTTTTGTTGCTGAAAATGGACTTTAAGAGGATTATTTCGGAGGGTGTGTTTTGTTTGATCATATGATTATGTGCAGGAATGGGGATTGCTTTTGGTCTTCGAATATTGGAATAAACAAAAAAAGAAAAACTCAGTTCTGTTCTACCTAGACTTTGCTACATTTTCCAAATCATGGCCTACCATTGCAAACAACTAAACTTTAAGATTTCTTTTTTCTTTTTAATTTAAAGTTTTTAGAAGATCATTACAAAAGCTAGGACAATTCAATGTTAAAGTAGGTTGGAGGTTTGATCTCCCACCTCTAGGTTGATATTTCTACACTAGTATGATTTTGCCCACTTTTAAGCCTAAGTTCGTATGATTTTGTTTTTTTTTTTTTTTTACTTCAGGCTGGAAATGTTCCTACTTTATACCATATTGTCCTTATCTATATATCTTAGATATTTTTCACTTCTAATTGATATGGAACTATGTTTCATCTTTACAAAAGCAAAAAATAAACCAACCCGAATTTAACTCAATTATCAAGACATTAATCACATTTCCTAAAGTTTGAAAGTTCAAATCTTCTATCGCATATTTGTGTAATGACTCGAATGCCCTAACTTCTCAAAAATTGAAAACATTAGTTAGTAATTTTTCGGGGGTTAGAAGTTAAAAAGTGGGTTAAATTATAAGTATAGTTCTTGAACTTTGAAAAAGTGTCTAGTAGATTTCTAAACTTTCAAATTTGTGTCTAATAAGTCCTTCAACTTTAAAAGTATCTAAAATAGTCTCATAAACTTGTAGTTTTGTATCTTGTAAATTGTTTATGCAAAAAATGTGACGGGGTATGACCTGGTCAAGGTCGGCCATGCAGAAGAGCTCGACCTGCTCCAGGTATGACCGCGGGGAGAGCTTGACCTGCTTCAAGTATGACCGTGGGAAGAGCTTGGGTATCCTTGGAAAGCAAGGGATGACCAACTTGAAGGGTCAAGGTCGGCTGACTGGGATGAGCTAGTGTCAACAATGAGCTGAAAGGCCACTTGGCGAGGAAAGACAAGGGAACAAACACTCTGACGCTCAAGTCAGTTTTGAGTCCGACCTTAGTATGGAGACCGAGCTAGAATACGATACTTGACTGAAGAGTAAAGTGTCCTATTTATAGGTTGAGGTACCCGACAAAGAATCCGACTAGCGATTGAGCATGTCGGGACCAAGGTCGGCCTGTCGGGAGTAGCTATTCCAGTTCATACTCTTGTCATCTGGAATTTGACTAAGTATGGAAGGTCGTTCCTCCCTTGAAATGATCTTCAGGGAAGACCTTCAGATCGGCCTTTAGGGAAGGCCTCAGGTCGGCCATTAGGCAAGGCCTTCAGGTCGGCCCTCAGGGGAGCTCT